CAGAATCTGCTTGATCTGCCTGTTGGAAACCTCAACCTGTCACTTGTTTGGGGGTGATAGGGCGTGGCCACTCTGTGCTGTACACCATACTTCTTCAACAGCTTGTCAAAAACCTTGTTGACAAAGTGAGAACCACCATCACTTATGACAATTCGTGGGACACCAAATCTGGGGAAGATAATGGTCTTAAATAGCTTTAAACCACTGCAGTATCATTAGTAGGAGTAGCCAACGCCTCTACCCACGTAGATACATAGTCAACAGTAACCAGAATGTATCTATTCCCATAAGAAGAGGGAAAAGGTCCCATGAAGTCAATACCCCAACAATCGAAAACTTCAACTTCCAGAATGAAGTTCTGTGGCATCTCATGTCTCCTGCTGATTTTTCCTCTTCTCTGACAAGTATCACAGCTTGTGATGAAGGCTTGGGCGTCTCTGAACATAGTAGGCCACCAAAATCCAGCCTGCAAAACCTTAGAGACAGTCTTGAATGTAGCAAAGTGTCCAGCAACGGTGCCAAAAAACTTGATAGGGCTCAGGTTTTACCCAAATAAAACTACTGCAAGTGCACAGCAAAAGCAGTTGTAGTACAAGGGGTATCGAAATCCCAAGAGAGTAATGCAGACTACACTATCGAATGTAGATTCGGATTAAGCTAAGCAAAATATGATGTATTTAATGCGAATGAATGAATAAAAGTAAGCAAACGATTGTGTGATATGATCTAAGTTCAAGAAGACTAAAAGCGCTAAGTCAGGGTAATTCGCAGGTTTGAATCCAAGAATGTATGATGCAGGAAATCAGGAATGATTAAGAACCGTTTTAAACATGAATCTCTAATGCATAACTAATCAATTCTCATTGTAAAAGTTATCTATGCCTAAATCACAGAGTTTCAAATCTCTTTGCAAACCCTAACAACCTAAGCATGCAGGAATGATCAGATTCAATTGTTTACAAAACTCCTAAGCCAAATCTCTTTGCACTAAGTTGCTTTGCTCATCAAATACTAGTTCAGGTTATGAATAATGCTCTCACATATATTTAAAAAACCTATAATTTTCGGATTCCTAGATGATGTGTCTCAGAAATTCGATTTTAAAGCAAGCAGAGATGAAAACCATAAGATATTCCTAACAGATAGCGATTCTACACTCTTTTCATCAACCTTTGAAAAACCCTAACTTAACTAGCAGATTACTCAGACATGATTATGAGATCACAAAACATAACTGAATAAAATTGCATTAAGAGAAAGAGTAAGAAATAAAAGGGGTTCGAAATCTTCTCAAAAGAGTACAGGATTTGTCTCCCCAAAAAGCTCTGAATAAATCTCTCTCTAAGCTCTCTGAATTCTCAAAAACTAAGATTCTCGCCAACAATGGCTGAAAAACCTAATAAATAGAAGCTAAACACGATCTGGGGTCTTCATATAAATAAAGGAAACTTCTGGGCCAATTCTGCAAATCTTCTTGATACTTTTAATAAAACAGCCACGCTCCTTCCTTAATGGGTGACGAGCGTCACCAAAGGTGGTGACGAGCGTCACCATATGCGATACTTTTCTGCTTCGAGCTTGGTACTTCGTGGCTTCCATTCAGAATGCTCCAAAAGGTTCCAAAATCTCCAATTATGCTCCAGACATGCTATAACCTGCAAAGACTCTTCTAGGGCTCTAAAAAAACCAAAAAGACTCAATGAAAATGACTTATATCATGGTTAAAAACCATAAAAACCATGATATATCAGACTTGTGCTTGATTTGCTTAGAAAAGAAAAACTATATGCTAACCTTAAGAAGTGTACTTTCTGCACTTCTAGTCTTGTTTTTCTTGGTTTTGTAGTAAGCTCAGAAGGAGTCAAAGTGGATGAGGAGAAAGTGAAGGCCATACGTGACTGGCCAAGTCCTAAGACCGTAAGAGAAGTAAGGAGTTTTCATGGCCTAGCCGGCTTTTATAGGAGATTTGTGAGGGACTTAAGCACTATAGCTGCCCCACTCACTGAAGTCATCAAAAAGGAAGTTGGGTTCAAGTGGGAAACGGCTCAAGAAGAGGCTTTCCAAAGCCTAAAAGAGAAGCTTACTAACGCCTCTGTCCTTATATTTCCTAATTTCCTAAAGACTTTTGAGATTGAGTGTGATGCATCAGGAATAGGTATTGGCGCTGTTCTAATGCAAGAGAAGCAACCCATAGCATTTTTTAGTGAGAAGCTTGGAGGAGCCATGCTCAACTATCCAACATATGATAAGGAGTTGTACGCCTTGGTGAGAGCCTTACAAACGTGGCAACACTACCTCTGGCCTAAGGAATTTGTCATTCACACGGACCATGAGTCCCTCAAACACCTCAAAGGTCAGCAAAAGCTCAACAAAAGGCACGCAAGGTGGGTTGAATTCATAGAAACCTTCCCATATGTCATAAAGTACAAACAAGGTAAAGACAATGTGGTTGCTGATGCATTGTCAAGAAGGTACACTCTTCTCACTACTTTAGAAACTAAGTTGCTTGGATTTGATCAGCTTAAAGAGCTATACAAAGATGATGATGATTTTTCAGAAATTTTTGCTTCTTGTTTCAAATCTCCTTCGGGTAAATTCTTTAAACAAGATGGGTTTCTCTTTTATGAGAACCGTCTTTGTGTACCTAATTGTTCTATGAGAGATTTGTTTATCAGGGTAGCACACGGAGGCGGTTTAATGGGTCACTTTGGCGTAGCAAAAACCTTAGAAGTAGTGAAAGATCATTTCTATTGACCCCACATGAGACGGGATGTGGAGAGAATTTGTGGGAGATGCAATACTTGTAAACAAGCCAAGTCCAAGGTCCAAAATCACGGTTTGTACTCACCCTTACCCATACCCTCTCATCCGTGGAATGACATTTCCATGGACTTTGTTTTAGGCTTGCCTAGAACAAAGACAGGTAAGGACTCTATTTTTGTTGTAGTGGATAGATTCTCTAAGATGGCTCATTTTATTGCTTGTCATAAGACAGATGATGCTTTGCATATAGCCAATCTTTTTTTTAAAGAAATAGTTCGCATTCATGGTATGCCTAAGTCCATTGTTTCGGATAGAGACACTAAGTTCCTTAGTTTCTTTTGGAAAACCTTATGGTCTAAGCTAGGAACTAAGCTTTTGTTTTCTACTACTTGTCATCCGCAAACTGATGGTCAGACCGAGGTAGTAAATAGGACTTTGGGTACTTTGTTGAGAGCTTTGATTAAAAAGAACCTTAAGTCTTGGGAGGATTGTTTGCCGCATATAGAGTTTGCATATAACCATGCTGTGCATTCTGCTTCTAAGTATTCACCTTTTCAGATTGTTTATGGGTTCAACCCCACTTCTCCTTTGGATTTAATGCCTTTACCTTTGAGTGAAAGGATAAGTATGGACGGAAAGAGAAAAGCCGACTTGGTCAAACTAATACATTCGGATGCTAAGAAGAACTTAGAAGAGAAGACTAAGCTATATGCCAAACATGCAAATAAAGGAAGAAACAAGGTGGGTTTTGAAGCTGGTGATCAAGTGTGGGTACATCTAAGGAAAGAGCGCTTCCCAGCAGAAAGAAAATCCAAGTTGATGCCACGGATTGATGGTCCTTTTACAGTTACAAAGAAGATCAACGACAATGCCTATCATCAACTTGACCTCCAAGGTAAGTACCCTGTTAGCTCAAGTTTTAACATTACTGATTTACTTCCTTATGTTGCAGATGAGTTGGATTTGAGGTCAAATCCTTTTCAAGAAGGAGGGGATGATATGAGCATGGGGACACCTAACCTAGAAGATGAGCTTGTAGCCGTTGGACAACAAGATCAAGACCAGAAGGAGGTTGAAGAAGTTCTTAAGATACAAGGAGGCCCAATGACCCGAGCTAGGACTAAGGCATTTCAAAATGCCTTAGAGGTTCTACTTAATCAGTTTAAGTATGAATCAAGTACTAAGGAGGCTACACGTTCCACACTGGTCTGCATTGTAGTCGGGGACTAAGCTAGTGGGTTTGTGGGATACTTTGTGCTCTTTTTCCCTTAGTAAGTTTTGTCCCATTGGATTTTCTCACTAAGGTTTTTAATGAGGCAAGTATTCCCACAATGTCATTGCCCATTTAGCTTGGCCTTGTTCCAAGCCCACTTCTTCCTACCATCCGTGGCTTGGATGTGTCTAGGTTCTTTTCCTTGTTTTTAGTTGTGTCTTTCTTGTAGTTTGTGATATTTTGAACAAGAGTCATGCATGGTTAGTCAAGGGGGTTTGTCCCAAAACCAACTTATTGCTCTCTTGTTGACCGTTCTTTTTCCTCTCTCTCTTCTTCTTTTAAAACCGTGAGTTAGTTGTTTGTGTAGTTTCATCTATCTTTTGAATAAAATCTCTTTTGCAAAATAAATCATCTCTCTTAGTGCGTCATATCCTTGAGAAATCCTTCTTAAAACCTAGGTGCGTCATATCCTTGTGTTCTAGTAGTTTTGTATCAAGAGCTTTCCCTCTCTCTTGCTACATTCCATCTTCACTCTTTCCCTACTTTTCCCCTTCACTGAAACAACCCCCTTTCCACCATTCGGATCATTCCACCATTTACCACGAATTCTTCCTCACTTAGCTTGAAAGGAACGATCATTGACCGGGATCATATCATCTGGTCTTAAGTAACAACATGTCCGTATTTAGCAACAATATTTACCTTATTACGATATTTACCTTGTTACGATATTTAAATATTTATTATCTTTATTTAGCGACAATACGTAATGCTCTGGTCTTACCATGTCCTTATTCAAGTTTTTAGACAATATAGATTATGATTGATTATTTGAAAAGTTAAAAACTTTTGGCGCTTTCTCGTTTTATTGTCTTTTATTTTAATGATATTTTAATTCAAGCCAGTATCAATTTTGGTTAATTATGTTCTGAGAACTGAGAAGAGGTCACCCAACCACGAATTCTTTTATTAATTTGACTCAACGTGATAACATATTGAAACTTCAAACCATCATCCTCCAATAGCTCCCAACAAAATCTAAACCAAATATATTAAGAGAGTTGTTTAATTACAGTCACTAATTCTAACGAATGTTACTATTAATTGGACTCACTAATGTTAACAAGAAACATCAATTTTTGTGGTCATTGAAGTCTTAACAATGATAAAACATGAAATGTTCTAGATTTCTTTTGCTAAGACAAGAATCTACAATACTTGAGAGACATTTTTGGGTTCTATGGGAGCTAAATTTCGAGGTTCCATGTAGTTTCTGCGGTCAGTTTTGGCGTCTTCAATTTCTCTGCTAGATTCATTGATGCACATACCTGCAAGTTGAAACCATTAGAGAAAAGAAAACCCATTAACCACAACTGAAAAAGAACCAGTTTTGGCTTAGTGCTCATGAACAATGTTCAATTAACCGATTCAGGCATCAAGAGAAGTTCTACTTTTCTTCACATTTACATGTATAACAAAAAATAAGTTTCAGACCAATTGAAAAACCTAATCAATTATATAACCAACTTACAAAACCAAATAAGAGGAACTATTTTCCCAAACCATAGAATTGTAATACATATCTTTTGTTAAAACTCTGCCAAAAATCTATCTTTTATGCATTTAATGACGATCACACACATGCCGTCATTAGAGGATTTGCATCATTCAAACCAAGTTATCAATGCATAAGCTTCACTCTTTCTTACAAGATGAACAATATCGTCTTCTATACACACTATATGATTCATAAAGACAAGTGCAAAACCACAATTCTGAAGAAGACAAGATCGTAATTAAGGAGAAATGCTAGGATAACAGTATACCATGGCAAAAGAAATTGGTTGATGAGAAAACAGAGAAGAGAAGTGGAAATTAGTTTTTACCTTGAAAGCGCCTCTTGATTTGGAGTTCCACGACCATTCCAAACCAAGCATCTTACTAGAAGTCTGATAAGTACCCTTGACAGTATCAGAATCATAAAATCTCCGTGAAACCGCAAAATCCCACGAGTCCTTGGCCAAGTCGTAACATGGCTCGAAAGTAGCGATCCCTTTATGAATATAAGTATACTTCAGCTTACAGTTGTTTGTTCCCAACATATAATTAGCAGACAACTTGTTCGCCCGATCAATCACAAGGCTACCGTCAACGATTGTCCCGTTGTCTCCTCTGCTATGAATGTAAGTCAGGTTCAAGGGTTTATCCGCAATTCTGATTGTGTTCATGAACTGAAACCTAACATCCTGCAGCACAAAAAAGTAATTTCTTGTTATACCAGAGAATTCATAAACATAGAACGTTGTCTAATCCTCAAAAGCTCCAGATTTAAGATTATGAGCATAAATACACGAATATTGAGAGTTAAGCACAAAGATTTCACTTGGAACTATGAAATTAGAGCTCAATATTTTGCCAGAAACCAAAGAGCGTTTATAAAGAGAGAATCCATACAAATAGAACTTTTGTGTAACCTCAGAAAAAAAACCCAACTTTAGAATACGCAAAGTTCGATTATTTCTCATTCCTTATAGCATGTAAAGCTAAAGACCTTACCATTTCGGTTTTCAAGAACATCCCCAGAAAGCTGGTAACTAATACTGCTCAATTTTTCGTCTAAAACGAAAGAGGAATTAAGAAAAACGGAGATACCTTTTTAGGGACGTTGTAATCGACGATGAAGAAGCCAGGTTTCTCAACGGCGAGAGAGAGACCGTTCAAGCTAGGGCCTGCGAGGACAATAGCATCAGTCAGGGTGGCGCGAAGCTTAACATTGCCGGCGTTGAAGGAAAGCGAAGCACCACCACCGCTTTTGTCGACATCGAACTTTCCCTTGCAAGAAGCTTTCATCATCGACGAGAGACAGAGAGTCAGAGAGTCAGAGAGAGAAAAACAGAGCCGCCTCGTGTGTTCTTCTCCCTCCCCTGCGTCGCTCTTTTTACGAGAATACGTCTACAATGCTCCTCTAGCTTTTATTGAGCTGTAATACTCCCTTTTTTAATTTAAAAGGTTTTACAAAAAATAAGATAAATAGAAAAAAAAGAAATTACTGAAAACCAGACCAAATCTAATAAAATTATCATTTGTATTTGGATTTAATCCAAAAAAATTCAGATTTTTTAATGGATCGGATTTGAGTTTGGTTTAGACCCGAAAATCTCTTAAATATTTTGGAATTCTTTCAAATATTTCAAAAACATTGAATCATCTCTCTCTCTCATACCACTGAATCGTCGAATTCGCAACCGTCATCTCTCACCGAAACCGGAAAAAAAACCCTAGCGCGGCGGTAGAAAGAGGGAGAATCGACAGAAACAAACGATACCGAGGACGAGAAAAATGCATGAGGAGAACCTGAGCAGTCAGAAACCGGCGGCGAAGAAGCAAAAAATGCCGGCGGAGAACCCGAACCCGAGTCAGAAGCCGGCGGCGAAGAAGCGTAAGACAACAAAATCGGGAACGATGTCTCGAACGACGGAGGAGATTCCAGGTGGAGAGGATCCTCCGATTGTCGAAGCACAAACGACGGAGGGGGTTTCGGTTCCGGCTCGAGAGGCGACTCCTCCTCCTCCAATTGTTGAAGCAGAAACGACGGAGGCGGGTAACTCCTCCGATGGCCGGAATCCTGTAAGTTAATTATCTCATTCTCCAACTCTTTTGCATTTTGATCACAACTCTCAATTCTCAATTGTCGGAAATTGTAAAACTAGGATAATTAGGTAATACTAGCATGTTGGTAAAACTAAGAAAACTTGGTAAAACTAGTATTATGTTGTAATATTCTAAGTTTGGTATTAATATTGTATGTATGTTGCAGGGTGCCTTTGAAGAGACGATTGCTATGCGACCAGACATGTACTTGAAGCCTGATCAGTATAGCAAGACCATTAAACTACCAACACGATGTTTCGTCCAAGAAGTTATGGAGACGTTTGAGAAAGTGGATCTGACTCAGACGGAAAGAGAGTGGTTTGAGCAGCATCCACAGTTCTGCCACATTCTTCACATGCCGAAGAGCAATCATATGGTTCAACCATTGTGGATGTTGTTGGTGCGTACTGCTAGGATCGAAAGGGAGAAGGAGGCTTGGTTTGTGGTGAATGGCGTTCCCATTCAATATGGGTTACGAGAGCATGCTATGATCTTAGGACTCAATTGCAGCAACTACCCTCTCTATTGGAATAAAAGAGGCAACTCTTACTTGAAGCGAAAGTATTTTCCTAACAAAAAAAAGGTTTTAAGGGAGGATGTGAAGAAAAACCTTGAGGAGATAGGCCCGGATGATAGTGGAGATAGGCTTAGAATGGCGGTGTTGTATTTCTTGAGCAGCATCATCTACTCTCCCACCAAAACCGGAGACAATGCAAAACCCATGCTCAATGTATTTTTAAAATACGTTGATGATTTGGATAAGTGTAAGACATTTCTTTGGGGGAGATTGTCTTTTGATCGCATCTTAAAGTCCATTTCGGATACGATGAAGCACTTTGTTGAGAAGGGGTTGGGCAGTGCATGGTCGTTTCCTGGTTTTTGCATTCCATTGAAGGTAAAAGATTGTCTTTTGCATTGTTTTCCTTTTCATTTTAAGATTGTCTATTGCAGGTAAGTCTAATTATATGCGTATGTTTGTAGCTTTTGGCGATGGAGGCCATTATGCCACTGAGACAGAGCTTCTGAGAAGCTGTACCAAATCCTAGCGTCGATTGTCCGAGGATGTGCAGGTCCAAGTGGAAGAAATGCGACCTGAGAGGCTGGCCACTTGAGACTGTGTATCAAAAGCTCGGATGCGAGAACAAGGTTAGTAGTCATTGCAGATTTGAAAAAAAAACAATGAAACTTGTTAACATTGGTTGTTTAAATGTGTTTAACTTGACAGGACATTGACAGTGTGCTGATAGCTTCGGAGGGGGAGAATGCGATGTTGGATTTAATAATGGAAACAGAGGACGATGTTGATGAGCACGATCCTGTTGTGGAAAGTTGGGAAAAACGTATTGATAATGGATTGACGGTTGTGTTTGAAGACATGAAGGAGGAAGATGTGAAAGGGCGAGAAAAAATGGTGGAGGAAAGAGGAAGGAAAAAACCTCGAGCTAAGAAAATGTCTTTGGAGAATGTCGTTAGCGCGATGGGTTTGCTCAACGACACCATGACAGAGCAATTGGGTTTGCTCAACAACATCGTCCATAAAATTGATGACAGGATAAAGCCACTTGAAGACTATGTGAAAGCGAGAAAGGATTCATGCTCTTGAACAAGATAAATCGTCTACTTTGTTTTTATATTTGGTTGAACTTTCTTTTGATTTCGAACTAGTACTTTGTCTTTATTTGGAAGTAGTACTTTGTTTTTATTTGGAACTAGTACTTTATTTTTATTTGGAATTAGTACTTTATTTTTATTTTCGATCTCGGATGAACCATGTTTTTAATTTGAATTATTGAATTTCTGTATTATTAGGTAAAACTAGTCGTAGTAACTGTTGCTAGAAAAAATAAATACTAAGAAAAGTTAGTAATACTAGGTGATACTAACATTAGTAATACTAATTAGAATATCATTGATAACTTAAGAAAATACAAGCAAAATGGAAACGTTAGTTTTGAACAACAATTAAAACAACAATTAAAGGAATAATTAAAACAACAATTAAAGGAAATTGCAGATTCGTTAAGTCTTGAGCTTGGCTATCTCTTCGGCTTGGATCTGGATCTGTTTTCGCATTTCTTCAATCGTCTTGCTCTGCTCTTCAACTTTCATAACTAGCTCCTCAATCTCTTGTTCGACTCCGAAAACCCATGGCTGACGAAAGTGGAGTCCATCATCCTAGCAAAAAAACAAAAAAACGAGTAACATCCATTATAGTTATACCTAGTATTCCAAGTTTTACACCCGAAGAACATCTAAATAGTTTAACCTAGTTTTACTAGTTTTATCCAGAAAAAAACCCAGATCTGAAATTATAGAGATTATACCTTAAATTTGGTGCAGGTGAAGTACCTACTGTCTGGTTGAGTATCGAAATCGTGTTTAAATTTTGGAGAAGGAGATACATCGTGCTTGATAGATCCACCACATGGGCATCTTCTCGGAATCCCATATTGGCCGTCGGAGACGAATCCAACCATGTCCCAATGCTGCTTCATCTTCTCCATTTCCTTGCGGCGCCTCTTCTCTTCCTTCAACTCCTCCTCGTATGGGTTGATGAGGAAATTGTCCGTGTAGTGATAGCTACAATCCGAATCCATTTGTAGAGAGAGATGAGAGATCAATTTTAAGAGAGAGAGATCGATTTTAAGAGAGAGAGGGAGAGGAGAGGATGAGAGAGAGATGAGAGTACGATTTTAAGAGAGAGAGAGAGATCGATTTTAAGAGACAGAGAGAGGTTCGAGAGTTTGTAATGAAACTCTGAATTTTATATTAGATCAAAATTTTTTGAAAAGTACACTCTCCTGTGAAAAAATTCAATTTACTGCTGAAAAAAATCAATTTCCCGCCGAAAAAATACACATAGTAATACCAGATTGTCAGTTATACAGAATCTTGAAATAGTACTACACCACCTAAAACTTATATTACATCACCTAAAACTTATATTTTCTAGTATTACAGTTTAATTATATGGTTTTACATATGAATATCATTGTCCTATGCAACAATAAGTTTGAATATGGTATTTTTGTACCATTCACTTAGCAAGTTGGTTCTCCATAAGAAAGTGTTTCTTAAAGTATAAGGGAATGTTAAAGATCGATATTAGAACTCTGATGCAATAATAAGTTTGAACTCGTATTTTGTTAATTCTTAGGTTTGTATGACATATAAGTTGTAGTTCTAACAAAATTAACTAATTTAGGTGATTAGTTTTAGTTTTTAAATAACAATACATAATTACTTTGAAAAGTCACCAATCATACATAGTTATACCAGTATTACACAGAAATCATAACATAGTAGAAAGCGAAAACGAGTTACACATAACAAAAGCTTAAAACTTTTACATCATGCAAAGTCTTCTCCATATAGTAACCCTGCTAGTGTCCTTCCCCACTTGAGTTTGTTCTGTGTCCTTCCCCTTCGGCACCTTTCTCCCGTTGATGGAAATTTTTTTCTTTTGGACGACCCTTTTTCTTGACGCGATCCTGAGGTATTATCTCATTCTCCATGATGTAATCCGGTAGAATCCACGCAGATATATCGGGCACCACATAGATCGATCTGCTATAAGCCAATATCCACATCTCCACGAAATAGTATTTCGAACACAAGTCATATATTCTATGCGGATATCACGCCTTCCATTATTCTTGAAGGAGATGAAAGCGGCTAATGCGTGGATACAAGGATACCTATGAATATCGAAGAACCTGCAACTGCAGGTTTTATTGGCCAAGTCCACCAAATAAAACTTTCCCTCTTCTGATATGACTTCGTATTCAAGGTCACAACCGTTTACCTCCCTCACATCTAATTTCTCAGCTATAGGCCAATTGTCGTGCAAGAAGTTCTCAACCAAAAGAACCAGTTTCTGAGCACTCGTTCCTGTCACGGACTCGTTCTTATGCTGGTTAGACCAATCAGAAAACGTTCGAACTATCGTATCAAGCATGGGTATTAAGGAGTACTTCCTCGCATCCCTAAAAGTTTTGTTTAGAGATTCCTCGAAGTTGCTTGTGTCGAGGTTGTATCTAGCAACCGGAGAAACACATCTTGCCCACTTTTGTGGCACGGTGGTCTCCTCCACATACTTCGTCGCTGAAGGAAATCTCTGCTTAAACGCCTCATAAAGCATATTGAACTCAGCCACCGTATGAGCCTTACCGCACTCTTGGAATTTTTTGGTAACAACGGCTCTGCTTGCGCTTGGAGCATGACCTTTCACGTTTTGAGCCAAATGCCATAAGCAAAACCCATGATGAGCTTGTCGATAGACGTTAGCTACGGCGTTGATGAGGCTGGTATTT